TTTCTATAATAAAATAATTAAAATAAAAAACCAAAACCGCACATACCGACCCCACCCAAACCTAAAAACCCAGAACCCACCCAACTTCCCGGCCACAATCCCCGACCTCCAGCGACCACCGCTGCTCCTACCGCCACCGTCCATATGTAATAATCGATGAAACACTAGATTGAAAAACCATCCATCTGACCTTCAATTTCGCTTGTCTGCACCTCTACTAAATCCCAACGCGACATAGAAACATGTTCCACAGCAATCTCTACCAGATTCCTCCCATCAGTCGACACCCATGACAGAAGAAATTGAAACATCATCGCCATAGCCACGGCCACATCAAGACCCTACTAACACCACCACTACTACCACACTCCCACAACAAGAACAAAAGCCCTGTTTGAGCCACATTTTTGTAGAATGAGAATGAAAAATACAGTCGTTATTGAGGCTCACACAAGAGATAGAAAATTTGAATTTAAATGTTTATGTGATGGATAACGATCATATTTTTCAAATTAATGAGATAAAAAAGTGGTCCAAACGGGGGCATAATCACATTAATATGCGAAGAAATAAAGAAAACNATTTTTCATTTTAATAAGATAAAAAAGTGGCCCAAACGGGAGCTAACTATGAGTATGAATATGAGTTCCCGTAGGTGAATTTGTGGATTGAGCAGTAGTTGGATCAATTAATTGTGTACCAACAGTCATCTGAGTATGAATATGAGTTCATGTAGGTGAATTTGTGGATTGAACAATGGGAAACCCATAAATTGGATTGAATATAACAGTCCCAGCTCGCACGCTTCTGGATGCAGAATTCCATAAAATTCATTTATAATTTGGCCCTATTTTGTTGAATTATCGCCGTCATATATTGAGCGCCTGTGGTGTAGGAGTCGACCGGTGGTGGTCTGAGAGGATGTGTGTGGGCGTAAGGTGGGTTCCCGCCACCGTAGACCACATGGACTTGGAAATTCTTGATGGGAAGAAAATGGTTTCTTGATGGGTTTGATAATGGTTTGTGATTTGGGATGATGAAATTTATGATAAGATGGAGAGTTTTATGGTGGAGGTGCCGGCGGCGTACCACGGCGTGACAGCGACGACTGTTGTGGTCGTGGGTTAATTTGGGATGAGGTGTGAAAGAGATGGTGAACAACACCTTTTTTTGGGTGGGGCTGGCCTTTTCATTTCTATTTTTTGTTTTGTTTTTGTTTTATTTTAATTCAAAGTTACGATTTTGCTCCTTTAAAATCGGTCAAAATTAAATCTCGAGTCAACTAACGGCCAAACTAATAGAAATTATCTATTTGGACTCCAGTTGTGAGTTTTTAAAAGATTTGATACTGTTGGTGCAATAAAATGAAGGTTTAGGCAAAGTCTACTTAAAATCGAAAGATTTGGCACCGCGAGGAAAAAAATTAATTCAACCAATCAATTAAATGGGTTTTCATAAAATTCATTGTGAATGCCCACTGCTCGGAAATCAAATTCATTTTAGGGAAAATTGCAGTCACGGTGCGGGGAAAAAAATCAACAAGAGTATCTAAATGTATAATAGACAATTAAATAATTTAATTTTAATTATTTTAATTCTTTTCCCACTTTTGTTCATTATCAAGCAAGTTTTGATGCATGATAAACTTTCTCCTGCCTAGTCGTGACTCGTGCATAAATCATATTTTAATAAAAAAGATTCCAGAAAAAATTAATATATCTAAGAGATTAAGTGATCTATTTCAAAACTAAGAAAAAACGTTTAAAACTTCAAAAATCAGATACTAATTAAAATTTATATATGAAATAATTAATTAAATATATATTTTATTAATTAAATATATTAATATCACAATTCTATATAATTTGGTCACAAATTGTCGAATTAATTGGTTACAGATTATTTCTCGGTAACCAATAAAAAAATTTATAGGTTATAAATTATTTCATGATCATAAATTAAAAAATTTATAGGTTACAATTTATTCACTTATGACAAATAAAAAATTTTATAGGTAACAATTTATTTATTGATCACAAATAAAAATATTTATAAGTCACAACTCAAATTTTTAGGTCACATATTATTTTTGGTCACTAATTATTGATTAAATATTATTCATTGGTCACAATTTCAATAATTGGTCACTAACACTCTTAATCCCACCACCTACCCCACCCAACCCCCAATCCACCATGGCACCAAGTGAAAACAGCGCCATCTTACCACAACAGCTATCGCCACCACCACCACAGCAACCAAGCTATCATTTTCAACTTCAAAACCACCACCTCACAACCGCAAACAAACCAGCTCATCACCATCGTCGCCAACACTACCACCACCACTTGCACCATCACCATCACCATCACCACCACTACTAACAACACAACCCAACAACATAATGCAGATACACCACCACCAACACAGACACAACCCAACAAACCAAGGATCGTCACCATGACTAAAGCTAACGCCACCAACTAAAGTTGTGCCGATTCCATTTCCTTCATCGCCAAATCCAACACCAAATCTATCTCCAAACCCAAATCCAACAACAAAACAACAAACAGCATCGATTTACTCACTCGCATTGCCAAAACCCAATGCTACTGCAGTAAAATCGCTAATATACAAACCCAAATCCAACGTTGATCTACAAAACCATCGATGCAGCAAAACCACTTATCTACAAACCGAAATAAAACGCTGCTCCGAATGGCAGCGTCAGCATCAGCACCAATGTTGCTGTGAACAACAGCGTCACATCAACACCAATGTTACAGTTAAGTAATCTACTTAAGGTGATTTAAGTAAATAATTTTTTTTTATTTACTTAAATCACCTTAAGTAGATTACTTAACTACCCACAATTTTACATAAATTCTGAAACATTTTTTCTGAATACACCACAATCAAAGTTGCTGCTTCTCTTTCAACTGACAACTCTTCTGCCTGTACCGTCGTTGCCTTTGCCGTTGCCATCGCCGCCACTACCACCACCTCCTCCATCTTGTCCATCAAAAATTTTATGAAGGAGAAGAAAAAGGAGAAAACCATGTTTGAATAAACTTTTTGATTTCCTCTCAGCTATATCAAATTATCATGGCTTTTAATTGTGATGCTCTAGCCTTTTGAACCATCGGGATTATTTTGAGATCAATATATTTGTAAATTCTAGTTCTTTATGTAAGAGTATTCTCGCCTTTGTCCCATTGGAGCTCCTAAACTTGATTGTTTGTGGAACCACATACATTTATTCTTCTCCTTTTGCTTTTGCTGAATTTGGCAATCTTGTGCCTCACTTGTTGTTCAAGTCCCTTAACCAAATTTAATTTGTTTTATTTTGATGATCTTGTAGAATTACTCCTCGGTCATTACTGTCTATCCCAAGATAATTGATGGGATACTAGGAGTGCTGGTTATCGAATCATTTGTGGTGGATGTGCAACCAGAAAATTGATGACCTACACCACCACAGACAGCTAGAAAGCCACCATTGAGGCGGTGATTTTTACAACGTTTGGAATAGAAGCAGCAACTTCCTTTCTTACTAATAATCCTTATTAACCAAGGAAAGAATCCCTTAGTAGCAACCGACATTGACTTACTTGCCTCTGTATATAAGCTTTACGGACCAGACAAAGAATCCATTAGTACTTAGTAAAAAAACCTGTAACCCCTCTTCTATAATCAAATCCATTTTTCCTCTCTAAAACACGAATCCTGCTAACGGGAACCAAAATCTGAAGAGCATGAATCAATTGTTCGTTTGCAGAAAACTTCCAAGTGGCTAAGGATTTGATTTGAAATATGGGATTTGATGATATCTTGGGTTTATAGAAGATGGAGTGAAAAACCAAAAAAAAAAAAAAAAAATAGTTCATGAGTATACCACAATACTTTTTATTATTATTATTATTATTATTGGATTATCAGTATATTCGGAAATTTTTTGTGGTTTATTTATAAAAAATTTATTTTAGCCCCTATTTGAAGCTCATTCTTCACCTTCTAAATAGAAAAAATATGACCGTTTGTACTGCCAGTGGGCCCCACCTTGTGAGAGAGAGGTAAAAAAAGGGCTCAAAAAGGTACACTAATAGTTCATTTTTTCATTCTTTTGGGCTGAAAATATGCCCCAAACAGAGGCTTAACTGTTGTGTGATTATAATATAGTGTAGTAAGTAAATTTTGTTGTGATAATATAATTACCCTAACTCGATAGACAAATCCTAAAAGAACTCGAAAAATGCAAAAATAACGAAAATACCTTTAAACTAACTCAAAACATAAAAATGTTTAACCATGACAAAACTGCAAGGAATTGAAAAATGCTTCCGCATTATACTTGCTCGTGTAAATCTGATACCCGAGTTGAAAGATACGTGTGTTTTCGTAAATTCATCTTGTTTCTCCTCTTTTCCACTAGCTTATGATTTTATCCTCTAACTGCTCTGCATCATCCTATCCTGTTATTGGGATGTACACAATACTTCCAATACTATGAAACATAAAAATGAATATCGTGACTTCACCGCAAAGCAAGTGCAAATAAAACATGGTAACGTAATACCATATCAGTTTCGCTAACGTAATCTGGGTTTGTAACACACTGTGTGGCATAAAATCAATAGCAATTGTTCTATTTCACAAATCATCTACAACAAACTACCATTTATACCAAATAAAGCACAATTTTTACATAACATAGAGATTTCACTACAACGAAAACAGCATATGTGTTGTCGTAGAGTAGAGAGATACGGCAACGTTTGGCAGACGTTGCGAAAGATATTCTTTTGCAACGTTTGGTACATGTTGCCGTATCTATCTACGACAACATGTAATGAGAACCACGTAGCAATAGTAGCTACGTAACCCAACAATGATATTGAAATCCGACCTAAGAAAGTCCACGCAAGTTTATGGATTTAAACCCAAAAACGGTGAATTAAGCAACCAGCACAATCGCCGACGATATGAAGACCTCTTAATTACACAATTCTAGAATCTAACCCGGATTAAAAGATCAACCCAATAGACCATTGAACCAAGTTTTCAAGAT